GAAAGCTACTAGTTGTTGATTAAAATAAATACTATACATGTTTTTATATGTATTCTTAAGTGTTATTATTATTTATTAATAATTATTACGTAATATTACTTGAAGTTAGGGAAAGTTCCCAAAATAGAACAAAAAAAGTTTGAAAATTCCAAAATAGGACTGTCATGTTTTTTATTCCCAAAATAGGAGTAGTTACTGCCAAGTTTGGAAAATATTGCCATGTTTGAAGTCAGGTACTGCCAAAACATGACATCAATTAGTCCTATTTTGGTAATAAAAACATGACAGTCTTATTTTGGAATTTTCAAACATTTTTAGTCCTATTTCGAGTAATATCTCTTGAAGTTAAGAAGTAAGTATGCATAATACTTCGTATGTTATTAAATGTGAAAACTCTTATCATTCATGCATGTTAGTGTGTGTATGTGTGTGTTTATATTTCATATATACACATAAAAACAACATTATTAATCATATTTATGCAAAAATATTAGTAAAACTATAATTTCTATGTCCCCGATTAATCTCCGCCTAGCCGCCCGCCTAGGCGTCTAGGCGCTAGGCGCTGTGCTGACGCCCGACTAGCGTCTTTTAGAACATTGATAAAAGCTAATTATTAAATTTTCATTTTTTAAAAAAATTGTCAATTATAAAATTGTCTTCTTAGAAATTAAAAAAATTGTTACTTTTCAAGTATCATTTATATTTAAATAATTTCAAAACATATATAAATCTTTTAGATGAGTGACAATTATCGCAATTCCAAACATATATCAAGTATTCCCATATTTTATAAAGCTTCAAGCCTACTCATGGCATTTCATGAACGAACCAAGCATATAGAACTTGATTGTCACTTTATTCGTGATCACATTCAGGCCGGGACCATTCACACTCTTCACAAATCTACCACTGAACAACCGGCCGATATTTTAACTAAAGCTCTAGGTGCACAACATTTTCATTATCTTCTTGGCAAGATGGACATTTTGGATCCCCATGCTCCATCTTGGGGGGTGTTGGAATAATATGATACGTTATTTTGGTCACGTACATGAAGAGGCATATTTTGGTCACGTTATTTGCTAATCATTAGCTAGTTGTTGCACCGATTGTAACTGTATATAAGGCCAATTGGCTCCTGGGAATAACAAGGGTTTTTCCATACAATCAAATAGCTCTATCTTATTAAACTTTATAAATGTAGAGCTCTGAAATATTTTCAATTTGATATATTATGGGTCTCATAACTCATTACGAGTTAAAAATCATGACTTCTGAAAAAATCAGCATCATCTTAACTTGAAATAAGCAAAATTTGACTATTCTCATGAATTTCTCTGATTTAATCTTATTAAATTAAATAGCAATAAGTAATAAGTAATAAGAATAAGATGATCCCCTAACAAAGAGATGTAGCCAAATTGTTGCGGACTTGCGGTCAAAAGAACTTAATAATAAAGGAGTGTGGATACTTGTCTTGGTTAAGGTTGACTATTCTAATGGATTGTGTGCAATTACTCACCCCGGTGATCTATTCATTGGAGGACTTATTTGGTTAGGCCTAAGTCTTTATCACCACTCTTCCAACCGTACAAACATCTATTTATGGTGATGACCGTGGACATGATGATCCGGATTCGTTCAAGTGTTCAACTTATAAGTTGCCAAGTATTATCATCTGATATCTCAGTACATGTCACATAAATTAATATTAATATCTATCTAAGAATTTATAAGCATTAATGATGGTTACGGCATTTTAGAAATGATAAAAATGTTGGTGTAACACTTAAGCAAGATGTACTTGTACAATTTATTTTGATCATTGTACCATTCACCATTACCCATATTTATTCCCCTTAACGCCGTTAAATCCTAACTCTTGGTTTCCAATTGACATTCTACGTACATAGTACATAGTATATCTTAAATTCTTAAATAGCATTGATTTTCATTTTATGTTTTCATTTATTTTTTGCATTTTTTTCTACATTACTTTATATTATACGAGTATGAAAAAGATGATTTTTTGACCGTGTTTGGCATTTAGCGGTTAGCGGATTGTCCCAATAGCGAATTTAGTAAGCGGGTTTGATTAGTGGAATAAGCTGGCTGGTTGCAACAAAATGTTTGGTAATTTAGTTGTTTGGTTTTAACAATTAGTAGAAAACGCTATATTTCAAAACACTAGCCCACATTCTCCTTTTTGCAGTGTTTTCATTTCAGCGGTGCCGCGCAAAAAATGCTAGGGCCGAACAGACTATTTGCCAAACAATGTTTTCTCTTATTGAAAACGTTAAATAAATGAGGTCAAACCGTTATTTTTTGGCTGAAACGTCATTTTTAAACACTTTCTTTATCTTCTCCTTTTGGAATGAAATGACTCATACCTAGCAAAAGTTTCACAAGGAATGCGAAAATGATTATTTCGAAACTGCTCCTTTATTATTAAGTTCTTTTGACCGCAAGTCCGCAACAATTTGGCTACATCTCTTTGTTAGGAGTTGTTTTCTCATCTTATTCTTTTTTTAGGGGATCATCTTATTCTTATTACTTATTACTTATTGCTATTTAATTTAATAAGATTAAATCAGAGAAATTCAGATTTAATATATCTGATAAAAAAATTCATATCAAATGACATCAGATAGATTTAGACCATAAAGATAGATGGTTATTTTTACTATTATTTATTATTGTTGCTGTTAATGTTTGTATATTATCAACGATATAAACACATAAATTCTTGTTATTAATATTTGAAAAATAATAACACTATTAAACTAGATTATTAAGATTAAAAAAATTCAATTTTATGTAAATTTATATCTTCTCCCTTCGAAACGAAACTACCGTTAACCGATGGGCGTAGCTCAACTGGTAGCAAGGGAGTGCCACAAGGGTTAGGTCCCGGGTTCGAATCCCAGCAACTGCGATGAGAGGTTACTATGCTAAAAATGCATAGGGCCTCTGCAAGTACCGGTGATGAAGCCTCACTCTCTATATGTCAGATTGTGATTATAGTCCAATTTACATCCTCCCATCGTGTCATCCGGTCGGTGTTGGAGGGCCCTCAGAGATGGGGTGTCATCCTTTTTTAAACTACCGTTATCCAACAAGATTTTCGCTCATATTACAAAAATGATTACTTCAAAAGCAGGTCTTTGCTTTTAATTTTTTATCTTGTGTGATGATAAAATCATAACTCATAGCGCGAGCGCGAACATACAACAAACAATTAACACATTATAAAAATATAATGAGAAAATCAATTATGCAAAATTCAACATATAACTCTATTACACCACCAACCATTTCATTCATTATATCTATGAAAATATTATTGGGCGCTCCCTCATAGCGCATAGCGCGAGCAAGAATAATATTACTGTACTACATGTGATCCCTCCCACTTTGTCTGTAGTACCAGGATGCGACATCTTACTAATTTAAGGGAAAAAGAAGTGAAATTATGTTGGGGTTGAATCAGCTTATATAGACAGCCCTCTCAATAGACTAGAAATGAAATGAGCAAAGTATGTGACTAGTGTCCAATGTCCATTCTCGGCAGCGGTTTTATTTGGTTTCAATATTACAATGTTGTGTATGTGTAAATGTTTGGAAAAGGTGTGTATCATATTGGGAAGCAGAGTATCATTCCTGCAATGGACATTCATGTAGAAATCAAGTGCTAAGCTATTAAACACCGGCTTAAAAATCTCACAAAATGAAGCTAAGTACGTAAACGTACCCCTCTGGATTTGTAATTTTTCAAAAGAAACCAAATTGAGAGTCTGATTTAAACCAAGTAAACGTTACTACGTGAGGTTTAGGTGTTGAGGATCGATTCGTCTTCCGACTCAGGTCTCCAACCCTTTAGCTAGACTCACACACACCACACTAGGATAGGCCACTTCATCTCACCATGTTTTCCTCTCACTCACACTCCACAAAGGAACTCTCAGACTAAGGAAGGAGGAGATACACTCTCCTCAAGGTTTGTGCAGGCTACGGTTCACAAAGGAGGAGCACAGTAATATAATAGGCAGACTCCCTATTATTGCTCACAGGTATTATTGGCAAACAAGGGGGCTCCAGACAGGTTGTTCAACGGTAAGATAGCAAAGGGCCAAACAACACAGCTCAATAATAAGGGCCAAACAACACAGCTCAATAATAAGGGCCAAACGGCGGTTCAGGCAGCGAAAGGTTCCAGCTAGCAGCAACATAGAACTATAGTAATATTAATATATTATTATTATTATTATTATTATTATTATTATTATTAGTCAACTATGATGATTATACAGATTCGGAATAGTCATTTTAATATAATCATACCGTCTACTTAGTTGAGCTAGTTTTTTTAGCAAGAATAAAAGTTTTATTAAAATATAGAAGTACAACCGCTAAGAAGCGAAGACTTAGTTGAGCCATTAAAACATATGCGTTTTCATGCTTATTACTACCTCCGTCCCACTAAGATTGGGACGAGAGAAGGTGACATGATTATTAAGAAAAATGAGTTTGTATAGTTGATATTAAATTGATAAAGTCAAAATAAAGTAAAAATGATTTAGAGTCACACAAACTTTACCAAATTTGGTGTGAGACAATCTTAGTGGGATTTCTCGAAAGGTAAAATGAGACAATCTTAACAGGACGGAGGGAGTATAATTTTAGTTCTACTCTACTACGTCTATGTCTCGGCTGAAATCTCAAAGGGGCATATATATACGCATGTGTGCTTATACATTTCCCACACCGGTTGGAAATAAAATTTTGTCCTTCGCATAGACTTATAAAAAGGAGCCATACTTGACCGTGGAACTCATGAAAGCAACTTGAGCTGCCAGGCGCTAGCTGTTGCATTCAAGTGAGTTGGCCCTTAGGAGAGGCTTTGTTTCGGACCAAATAATATGCAGTACTAATTTATTTTTTGAGGCCCCATCGGCAAACGAGGCCCAAGGCACTTGCCTGGGTCAACTGGCCTCAGAGCCCGCTCCGTTAAAGGTGTTTTATTCTCCATATAATACTGCAATATTGTACAAATTAATTAACTCAAGCATCTTACAATTTTAGAACAATAGATTGGAATGAAGTAACATATTAAGTTCAGATAGTATGGTACTTGGAGTTTTTTTGACAGAGAAAAGTTATTTACCAAAGGGATTATGTATTGAGTCACTAAATTAAAGTGGTGGTGTTGGGATATAATCCTCTTCATGATCCATCAATTTCCAAGATCCATCATTCTGCTGAACCATTCCCTTATTCTTCTCAACCCACCATTTCCCGGGAATGCCATATTTGTCCTTCAAATAGTATAAATACTTGTTGACCAAAGCAAAGTCGCGATTGACCACCAGCTCAAACCCATCCCCACTCCTGACCCCTTTTGTTCCGGCAATTCCATGCAAGTAAGGCTCCAGAAGATGCCAGCTGAATAACTCCCCTGGCTGCCTCACAAACTTTGACTTTGTAACGTCGATCGTCAGCTCAACGCCGACGTCCGTGTAACCGGTCAACGGAGTCGCCGGAGGAACTTGTGGGACCACGTCGGGCACGTTACGGACACGCAAGAGATGCAGGTTTGGAGTCGTCTCGTAGGCCTTCTTTAAGTTGTTGTCACCGGTCCTAGGGCTAGCGAATGCGAAAACCACCACCGGAAAAGCTTTTTCGCCGGTGCTTGGTTTGTTGACTCCACTTTTCATTATGTCGATTGCGTTTAGGGTTGCAAGTGCTGCTCCCAGGCTATGCCCGCAGATGGTTATGCTCACCTTTTCGTTCCTATATAGTTCTACCAATCTCTTCACTTCACTCAAGACCTGGTTCAGATATAATTAACCCCCTTAAATAAAAAGTTATCGACTTTTAATCCCTTGACCTTAGATCAATTCTAATGTTATAATATGCATGGTTCACATGTGATATGAGAGAGATAGACACATAAAAAGGACATTTGTCTCTCCTTGTTTCTACGGTGATATACAATTTTGGTAGTAATGTCATGTCAATCACAATGTCTACATCTGAACACTCTTTTTCACATTACAGCCAAAAACTTATCAAAACCATATAAAACCGTTCAAATAAGGAAAAAGAATTTTACTTACTAATATTTGTGTGTCTATCAGATTGTTTATCTCATGTTACATGTGTACCGTGAACATCATGGCATATGTGAGTAGGGTAATTACACTACATTAAGTAATACTCCGTAGCAGATTAACTATTTAACTAAATGGTAAAAATGAAAAAGGTGACACTAACAAATAAAAAAAAATAGACTACTATCATATGCATGGTGTTATTCGCTTAAACCCGCCTCTTGATACGGAGGGGGTATAACTTGCACCTAAATATTTTAGTCAAAATTATCAACAAATGTGTACAAATATTAATCAAGAATGTCAAAGATGATAAAATTTAAAGGACAAATTAAAGGAAGTTAAAAGGATACCTAACGTGTGCAAAGTCTTAAATTAAAGCATTTAAATGTACTCACTGAACTAAATATTGACTTCAAACACATACAACTTTCTTTTAAACTCTAGTTTAGTGCATACCATTTTTCGTAATTTGAAATTGTATTATATTGTGCCTGCAACACTTTTAATCATCAAATAAAGTGCTTCTGTTCAATACATACTGATTGAAGTGAACTTTACTTGATTAATCCAATTAGTTCATTGAACGTCATCAAGTATGATGGGATTGATGTTGATTCTGCATGTATTTCTTGTGTATATGCTAGATAGGTTTAAAAAATCTCATGAATCGTCTTGGGTAACTGGTGTAATTTTAGCTGGACAGTGAAAATTGCAATAGGTGTACCCGAAACCATTCCTATAATAGGATCACCTATGGTAGATTTTTTTCGCGGAAGCACGAATGTGGGACAATCCACTTCGACTCATTTTTATATTATATTGTGTCGTTTTAAAATGTATAGATTTTAATAATCAAATACTAATTTAAACACAAATTAATGTGCCTATGTGAGACAATACGAAGTTAATCAAGGAGAAATATTAGGGAGTATATAAGAACGTACACTAATACTACGTATATAGATACGGTAAAAACAGAACACTAATAGAAATGAAACAATTGCTTTAGTTCAAAAACGAGGTAATACGAGTCCTGGGGTATTATGCTATTCCTCTCTTAGAGCATCCCAATGGATACCAGTCTAGTCTAAATAAAATATGCCAATTGTCAAAAATTTAAAAGGCCGTCTAATCTACTCGATAAAAAATGGAATGACTAGACATTAAGATGCCTTAAAAGCTTCCAATGCATGTGGTCAAGTCTTATGAAGTGCAACCGTGAATTTTTCAATTAATACAGAGTATTCTGCATATATTTTTTCAAATGACTTCCCTGTTTTTATATTAATTCTAGCGATAATATATATATAAAATTTTGACCACATAATATTCATACTGCAGAATTGCATATCTAAGGTATACAAACAAATTTATATATACGCACCTGTATAAATATGTGTTGGTACGGCCGAATTCATAAACACGTACTCCGTACAACATTAAAATTGAGATTCTATCTTTATTTCATTATTACGCATGTTTTTTTATTAAATAAAAAACGAAGAGCAAGAAGCTTTGGCTAGATAGAAATTCAGCAACCGAAAAAGAGATACGTGATAGAAAGTAACTAGAAAACAGAAGAACGATGCTTTTTTGCTGAGTCAGCAAGTTAAAGAGGATGTTCGAGATTAGAAATGTTTCTTCACAGTGTGCGATTATTTTTTGCCAAGTCAGCAAGACATGATCCGAGACTAGAAACGTTGGAGGGAGTAAAAAACAATGGATGTCTAATTATCTGATGTGGCGTGTTTTTCCTAGACTAGACTAGTATCCATTGCGGATGCTCTTAGGAAAAGACTTTAGTTTCATCATATTTGATCAAGTTTGATTTATTTATCACATTTGGCCTTATACACTATTTTTATTTTTTTGTCTTTTCTCCGTTAAACAAGGCGATATTTATCATACAAATTGTATACGACTGAAATTCCTAATAAAAAGGGATAATAAAGATGACTCGTCCTAGTTCTAGACTTCTAGTCCTTCCCCCCATTGCATTTAACTTAAAGAATGTATATTAACTTAAAATATAGAAGACTTATTTCAGCGTAGTAAAACTAGAAACACTAAACTTCCTAACGAAATGAAACTTGGAAATTTAACTTAATTCAAAATAAAAGTTTAGGACTAAAACTACAATGTCATGATCATTGATGTCTGTTTATGATATTCTATTTGAAAATAAACTTGTAACACCTTAAATAGTTCCTTCATTCATAAATCATATGGACCTACCGAACGGGCTATTTTTTATAGCACAACGCCACAACTCATTAATGATAATATTCATAGTTATGTACTTTTTACCGTAATACTAAAATGACTATAAGTACATAACTCTTCTTAAAGTTACTCAAGCTTGTGATCACTGCTTATTTAAATTATGCTCCGTATTATTATACTCCATATACTACGCAGAGACGTCTTTTAGGAGGTGTCAATGGGGTGCTTGGCACCGGGCCCCACTTTTATAGAGGGCCTCCAAAACTTAGGATGTAGTATTAGTTATAGGTTGATTTTTCTAGATGTTATATATTATTCAAGATTCCAAAAAGTATATAACTTCTAGATTCACTAATTTGTGTATTTTAAATGTTATAAAACTTATACTTCATTGAATTTTCTAGTTTATTTGTATTTCATTGTTAAAATTTATATTTTTTCTTGTTTTAGGGGGCCTGAATTTGCCATTTGGAACCGGGTCTCCAAATTCATTAGACGGCCCTGGTCCTACTTCTTCATTTTGTTACTATAAAATGGATTTGATGAATTGAGATAAGATAACCCAGCCCATAGAAGTGTAGAACGGATTTAGAATGTAATTGAAAGGCATTAGACATCTTGAACCATTTCGCCCACAAAAAACCTACGTTCGTGATGACTACCAAACCAAACACAAACACACTAGACTAGACGAAACCATATCATATTTAAACAAGGTAGATTCTATAGTACCCTAAATGTACCGTACCTTTGTCAACATGGACCAATAAGAATAATGCAGTTGAATTATTTAAATCTAAATTAAAAAGTATATAATGATTTGGACCAATCAAATTTATGGTAGGTACGGTACCCCATTTTTTAAATGGGTACCGGAGTTGTCACCTTTAAACAATTAACTGTTATGTTTGTTAGTCTGATATATTTAACTACCTCTAGTATTCTTTCCATAAGAATGTGCTAATCCAGTAATCCCCATAAATAATTCAATGTTCTTTAAAAAACTAAATCAATGTCATGGGAGTGGTAGTTTTCTGGATGCACTTTTCATACATTCCTATGAAAATATGATGAATGTCAGCAAAAAAAAACTTCTTAGATACGGAGTACTCTGTACGGAGTGTAAGACACGATATGTCGTAAAGTTATACGAGTATAAGAAGTTGAATATATACTCCTTATAATTATACTACCTCCGTCCCATTTTATGTGTCTTAGTTTGACTTGGCACAGTTATTAATAAAGTGGTTGAAAAAGTAAAAGTTGTGGTTGAGGTTTGAGTATAATAAAGTGAAATGGTGTATACCACATATTTCTTTTCAAAAGAGGAAAATAGACACTTATTTTAGGACAGCCCAAAAAGAAAAGTAGGACAAATAAAATGGATCGGAGAGAGTATGATTTTGAATAGTCATGGTCAAAAATCAACTGAGTTTGACTTTATAATTTGGCAGGAAATTAACAAGTGTTAAATACTACGTATACCTAAAACTCATCAATAATATACTATACCTAGTATATATGAACAAAATATACCTGATCTCTTGCGCTAGTGACATTAAAAGGAGAAGCTGGATTTTTTGAAGTGTAAATGGAGTAAAACCCTCTATGAACCATAGGCCGACCACCATCACCAAAGATCTCAGGTGCATGCACTAACGATATATCGAAATCATCAAGCCACTCCAACGCTCGAACCGTCCCTCTCCAACACACAACTATGTCCCTCCTCCCCAGCTCCGCCTTCCTGTCATCGGTCGCCACCGCCACGTAGCCCATCCAGTTCGACTCCCTGCTCCAAGCGCCAAGCCGAATAGGCTTGACGATGAAGGCGTCAGGGACAGGATGGGAGGACGTGGCGTATAAATACTTGGTAACCTCGTACTTGTACGGGTTACCCTTTTCGAGTCCAACGTTGGAGAAGAGACGGGCCTCCGAGTAGCGGCTGCTACCGGCGAACTTGGAGAACAGATCGGCGTTGAAGGTGTCGTAGGTGGCTTGGGTCATTTCCCCATAGTGAATCAGGTATTTTCGGAGGTCAAGGTCAAGAGGGTCTAGTAGTCCCTCCCAGTTTGTGCCACCGCTTAGCACCTCCCACCTCTCCGCTATAGTACAATAAGAACTACTCATCATTTAAATATTTAATTTCTTTAGTATGCTTTCCTTTTGTACGTGAGGTGATTATTAAACGGCATGATGTAGTGGTTATTATATATAGAGCCAACTAATTGCATTTCTTTAGCCTGGTTTTGTCGGAGGACAAGCACGGAGTAGAGCTAGGTAAAATTTAGGGGCTCTAGCTAATTTTTGGACAACTACAAAGTTTCCATATTACTTCTTTCCATGTTTCTATTATACGCACATGTATGTATCTTCTGTATTATGTAGGAGCTTTAATTTAGGCATTGGTTTGTTTTTTCCTTTAAACCATTTCTAGTGGTGGGGAGGTCCATATCAAAATAGTGTTTATAGTTTTATTTCCTTTAAACCATTTGCATTCCAACACTGTCGATAAAATACACTCAACATATTTTTTTACATATCAATTTAGTAAAACATTACTGAAATTATTATAAGTAATGTTTTCCTTTTAATTTTTTCGCTGAATAATAATGAAATAAAAAAATACACATTTCGATGTAAAAATAAATAAAGTACATTAATTGTTTTTACGTTTTTTGGTTAACAAAAAATGAACTTAGTTCAAGTAAAGTTTGGTTATGGAATATTCAGTTAATTATTTGTGGAGGCTCCATGCATAAAAAAATCGTGTTTTTTCGGGCTCAAGAAAACTCCAACAATTATTGTTCATATTTCAGTTAATTATTTGTGGAGGCTCCATGCATTAAAAAAAATCATGTTTTTTCGGGCTCAAGAAAACTCCAACAATTATTAGTGTTCCATAATATGTAATGTTTCACAGTGCATGATAATCACATTACATACTATGTATTACAACAAACTTACATATTACCCTTTTAGTTCTTAATGAAACAATGTATCATTATTTAACGTTATAACCAGTTAAATTTATATGTCAACGATGTTTATACCCCATCTAAGATTTCACACACCGTGCATCGCACGGGTACATACTTGTTATCCTAGAGTAATCGTGTTTTTATTTCCCAATATAATATTCTCTCCGTCCTGCTAAACTTTGCCTGTTTTCTCTTTAAAAAAATGAATTTGTGGTGCTCGTTATTTGTCTCACTTTTGCACAAACCTATTCACACAGTTTTTATTATTTTTAGTTCACACCCAACATATAAATAATTGGCACTCTCTAGTGTGGGAAGGAAGTAATAGTAATTACTGTCATGTTTTAGAAGTACTAGTATTAGACTTTAAACAATCTTATTTTGAAATTTTCAAGCCTTTTTAGTTTTATTTCAAAAATTTCCCAATAAATTATTGAATGTTGGTAGATCTATGGTTATAAATAGTGCTCGACAACATTTTTTTAACAAAATTATTTGTTAATGAGATTTTACTTTTTTTAACGAGACAATAGGACTTCCATCATTTTATTCTCAAACTTAATTATCATAAGAGAGAGGGCACGGTTCAAAGAAATTGCAAAAACAACTTATACAATATGCTATCTGTCACAAATTATGTGGTACAATCGGCTGTACTTGAGCATTGTACAACCGGATATTTTTATAATAATCAAGTAGGAACTTCAATCTGCAAATAAAGCTGTCATCTTCTATAACAAATGAATCGTACATAGGTATGCCGGCCTAGTGGTCTTTTTATCGCTTCATGCGACTGATTGCTTTTTCATCAAGAAGAAATTTGTTGCCACCGTCTTTCGTTGCCCACATCGCCACACTCGATCGACTAAAAATCCACGGCACTCGAGTCGCGCCACCCTCAACACATCAGTAGATCTAGCCTCCAAAACTTTGGTGATCCTCGGTGTAAGTATAGTTGGGTTTAGAAGGCCACCTTTGCTTGTCGGTGTTCCACTGCCGCCCTTGCTTGTTAGTCGTATAGCGCCGCCATCGCTTGCATGTCTTCCTGTGCTACCGTACGTTTTCGCCGCTGTCGCCGCTGTTGCCGCTAGCCATCCAGTCTTATCGCAAAACTCAAGAATGGCAACTCGAATAAATTGCTAATAATAGATGAGCATGAAGTTTATTATGCATTATGCATTTTCAACTCATGCATGAAATTGTGATTTATTTTATATTCGTTTCTTGTGCTTCAAATACCAACTGTAGTGTGTCGTGTGCTAATGTAGAGTAAGATGATCGTTCAAGTGAATTAAATATTGATTACTGTGTATTAGATATCGATTCTTGTGTGGTACAAATTTGCTATGATTTTTTGTATACAAATCATATGTTATGTGTTGGTTCTTAGGCGTATATGCGTATTATGCATTAGATACTTATTCTTGTGTGTTTTTTTAATCAAATACTTATTCTTGTGTGTTATATACTCATTTAGGTTGTGTGCATTTCTTATGAATTAGATATTAATTAGTTTTTAATTGTTTTGCATCAGATACTAGTTCTTGTGCATTATATATCTGTAGAATTTGCATTGGATATCGGTGATTGTGTGTTGGATACATGCTCTTGTGCATCCAGTAGTCGGAGATGTTTGTTAATCTTTATTGTATACATCTTATACATATTTTATTTTTAAAAATTATATGTGACATATTGGTGTCATATGAAAGAGCATAAAAAGTTATTTAATTTGGTATAATTTTTGTTAAAATCAGATTATTATTTAAGAAGTTAAATCAATTTTTAAACTAAAGGAATTTTATATGATTTGAGATTTATTATTACCTAGTTTTTAGGGAAACGACAAACTTCATCCGTATGGATACTTTTTAAAATTCCCATCGTGTCCATGTAACCTACGTGTGATTGGATGAGAGAGCATGTTTTTTAAAGTGTTTGCACACCCATTGTACATCCGTGCACCTACTCCTCTTTTGACCATTAATTTCTTAAGATCTATGGTTAACATTTGTTTCTTATTTCTCACCATAAAGAGTGTTCTAATGATATGTTAAACACTTTAACCCCATTGACTTTACTTTATAGATCCCTAGTTTTCCTAAAGGAGCATCACCTAATGTCCTAATTAATGATTACATACCACTCGCAACTTTTTTTATTACCATACGTATGCACTGACCGTCCGAACAAAGATATTGAGTTGCGTTTCTTTATTTTTAATCGTTCTATATATATCACTCTAAATAAATAGATGAGAGATTCACCCAAATAGGATTAAAACAAGGTAGAATTGCAAAAATAGGACTACTATGTTTTATTTTACAAAAATAGGACTAAAAAGATATAATCTGACAAAGCTACCCTCTGCAATCAATCGCCTCAATTTATCTTCCACCCCAATTCACCTTTCACGATTCTTTGCTCTGCCATGGCCGTGCTCCGCAGTCCGCATCGATCGTAGCCTCGCAGTGACGCTCTGCCATGGACGACCTCTGCTGCAATAGCGAAGAAAGGTACGTAATCTTTCTCTTCTTCTCCTTCTTCTTCCTCTTTCTCTTCCTCTTCTTCTTCTTAGTTCTCTGTTTTTTTAAATTTTTTATCAATCAAATTTTAAATAAAATTTTGAATTTTGAAAGTTTCAAATGAGGATATATCTGAACTTGAATGTCTTGTAATCAATTTTTATTTCTTTGAATCTCAAAATGTTCTGTCTAATGATTCCAGAAAATGTCACTTTTTGAATAGGAGAATGTCATAATTATTGGGTATTTTTACAAAATGCCACTTTTATGTCATTATAATATTTGAAAATGTCATATTGAGAATGTCATGTTTCTATACGAAATTGTCATTATTGTCATATTAAGTGGCATTCTTAAACCATGTCATTTGCATATGGAAAAATGTCAGTTTCAAGCTAACCTTAAATGTCATATAAAAAATAAACATGTCAATTTTTAAAAAATGACATCTTGTGTACTGTGATGTTAAAATAATGTTGGCATTTTGGAATAGAAAGATGACATTTGCAGTTATTAAAACATGCCATTTATTTTTAAATGATGGAAGTTTCAAATTAAATTGTCTAAAATAATATGAAATTCAAAAGAACCACAAAACAGAGAAGAAAACATAGGGGAGGAAGAAGAAGGAGAAGAAGGAGAAGAAGATGAAGAAGAAGAAAAAGAAGAGGAAGCTAAGAAGAGGAAGAATACCTGATTTTGCAAGAGAAATTGTTGAAGAGGTGGCTGGTTGCGTGGAGCAGGCAACTCCGATGAAGAGGTGGCAGAAGAGGAGGGCTGAATCGCAGGTGTATGATCGAAATAGGTCAAGCTGCGTTCATGGCACCTCAGTCGGAAGAGGAGGGCTGAATCGCAGGTGCAGGATCGATGACAGAGGGATTGGGGAAACGTGATTTTGGGATTAGGGGTAAGAATGTAATCTGGAGTCCTATTTAAGCAATTTAAAACTTAAAGTCCTATTTTGGAGTTTTAACCATGTTTTAGTCCCATTTAAGATAATTTCTTTAAATAGATAGACCGTCCGAGCAAAGATACTGACCTGAAATTAGTGATACTCTCCAAATAAACTATTCTACAATCTCATTAAGTTTTCACTTTCCTGCCAACAAAAGGAAAACAAAACTCATACTTCGTGGAATGCAAACTAACCTGCTCAAGATAAGATGTGTAATGAAAGAATGCCTATTTATGTGACCGTGGCACTTGAAATGATAGGAGGAGTTGTTCAGATGAGTGCGGCAAAGTCTCAATATAAAATGGTACGTAAATCAGTAAATAATTATATGTGTTTAGTCATTATTATAATGTCTTTCTGGTAGATGAGTAAAGTACTAGCCTATGTTCAACCAAAACGTGAGTTTCATGGGGCACATGAAATGTACAAATTAATTTTTTAGAGTATTTTCAAATAATTATTGTAGAGTTATCGAAATTCGAAATGAAAAAGCAATTCTTTCTACAAAATATTTGTACTTCATATCATAACCCAGCGGGGTCATCTGATGTACCATAATACCAACATTAAAATATCAATATGTATATGGGCTTTACAATTATACATTGATACACATAACCAATTTCTTTGCACAAAGAATTAATTATGTGCGTCTGGTCTCCATACATTGCTTTTTGTTCCCAAGGTTTATTTTAAATAATTATTATT